CTACCTTGATTTGTATAATCTGGCAGAGGGAGAGAGAGAGAAAGAAAGAGAGAACTTCACATGCGCGCGCGCACACACACACACACACACACACACCACTATCACCCCAGACTGCCATTTGCAGTAACCCACTCCCCAAGTATTTAAGTGTGATAGGTTTAAGTTATTTCCACTCTGTCCTTAGAAGCCCTTTCTGCAACTGGCTTTTGCTAGATATCTTGTTTGTTGGCCACATTTGCCAGCACTTTGCTCCAGATATCAAATCTGTTCCACTTGCACCCCTTGGAGAACAAGTCCCCCGCTCCCGCCTCTGCTTCCCTGTGTTGGTTTTGGAGTGGAGCAGAACAAAGTGTCATCTGGTGAGTGAGAAGCAGGAGTGGGGGCTGCTCACCCAGCTTCTTCCTGGCCTACGAGTAAACAGTTGGTTGGAAAACAAGAGCAAGGATAAAAATGGCTCTGGCAGGGTTTTGGTTTTAATTAAAAAGTAATAATAATAACGAGGGACGCGGGCGGCGCTGTGGGTTAAACCACAGAGCCTAGGACTTGCCGATCAGAAGGTCGGTGGTTCGAATCCCTGCAATGGGGTGAGCTCCTGTTGCTCGGCCCCTGCTCCTGCCATCCTAGCAGTTCGAAAGCACGTCAAAGTGCAAGTAGATAAATAGGTACCGCTCCAGTGGGAAGGTAAACGGCGTTTCCGTGTGCTGCTCTGGTTCGCCAGAAGTGGCTTAGTCATGCTGGCCACATGACCCGGAAGCTCCCTCGGCCAATAAAGCGAGATGAGCGCTGCAATCCTAGAGTCCTAGAGTCGGTCACAACTGGACCTAATGGTCAGGGGTCCCTTTACCTTAACAACAGCAACAACAACAGCAACAACAAATTGAAATCTACCAGCAACACACAAATCGCATAGAGGTGTGGGCACGCTTTGCTGTATCCAAAACCTTAGAGAGTGTGTCAAAAGAAAGGTCCACTCACTGACTATTCATGGTGTTGAGTGCTGATTTTGGCCTTAAGTGATTTTGGCAAAGGAGTTGGGGTAAAAACATAGCAAGTAACACAAGCTATGAAACAGGGTAGCTGCTGTTTAAGCTACCCATAACTTTTTCTGGAAACAAATAATCTCTAGTTCTCAGTCTGTCCATTTGACCCTTCTGATGGACGTTGTTGAGAATATCCTAATGAAATCCTTTCAGATAAGCATGAGCTTCACTAGAAGATGATACCAAATCAGGCTGTGGATTCAACTTGCAGAGTATCATCTAAAACGACCAGAAGCAACTCTGCGGAGTTTCAGATGGGAACCTTGCAATTTGAAAAAAAATAAAAATAAAAATCCATTCACGTTTAAAGGCAATCCTACGTAATTTGTACTTTAAGCAACAATATGGGAACTAAAATGTAGGCAATCTTAAAAATTCACACATCTCCAAATTTTGCAGGGCTGTTCCCCAGACAAGTAATGTGTACAAAAATGCATATACTTGGAAAAATGTACATAAATACGCTTATTTTAGTAAAAATAACACAGAGACAAATGTATTATATTAGTGAAAAATGCTCTGCAAAAATGTGAATATTAGGCCAAACTGCATACAAACATGTGAATACTAGGATAAATTCACACTAAAATCCTGATAAATGAGATCCATTTTTTAAAAAAATAAATGAATGGCAAACTGACGTGGAAATGTAATAACCAAATTTAATATTAGAAGCATTAAAAACTGAGAAACCAGAATTGGCAGATCTGCCTATCCCTAATTGCAGTGTAGGTGCCAGTCAGATTTCTAGGGGGAGAAAGCATTCCATAGCCAAGCTTCTCTCACAGAAAAGTAACTGCTCAATGGCAGCAGAGTGAGTGATGCTCAGGTGTTGTGGGAAGACAGCTAAACTCCCAAATCTTGTTAAATTTTGAAATGAGTCTTCTTAGTGGAAACAGACAAAGGAAAACAAAAGGAAAAAATCACCAGTCGGTAATTTTGTTTCTTACGTAAGCTGGAGATATACTGTACAATTGGGACCAACAACAAAATATTGCAGCATGGAACGTTCTCTTCAGCATCCTTGTTTAGGTTACTCCAAGTCACATTCATTCCCACCCAGTTTTCCATTTCTGCTCCACCTGCTTCTCTGACCCTCAGCCAGCATTTATTGGCCACAATGAACACTTGGTCTGCATTGGGTTTATTGGACTTCTCCCTAGTACTTTTTCTACAGATTTATTGTACTTATGCAAACTGTAGTGGTGCCCCAGGGCAGGAGCCCCAGATTGTGAGCTTTCATTTTCATTTTAAAGTAAGTTTCTAGCCCTCCTAGAAAGAACATTGTGGGGCAAAAAATTGTACAGTGTACCTCTGGTTACAGACGCTTCAGGTTACAGACTCCGCTAACCCAGAAATAGTACCTCGGGTTAAGAACTTTGCTTCAGGATGAGAACAGAAATTGTGCTTCGGCGGTGTGGCAGCAGCGGGAGGCCCCACTAGCTAAAGTGGTACCTCAGGTTAAGAACAGTTTCAGGTTAAGAACGGACCTCCAGGACGAATTAAGTTTGTAACCAGAGGCACCACTGTACCTTCTAAGTGATTTTTTGTGACATGAGAGTGGTGTGACTGCCTTGTATATTAATCCTGGAAACTGAGGAATATTCCCTCTTGTTATTAGACAGCAACAGCATGTCTAACAGTGTGTGTGTGTGTGTGTGTGTGTGTGTGAGAGAGAGAGAGAGAGAGAGAGAGAGAGAGAGAGAGAACACGTGTTGGATAGTGTTCCATAATCAGGACCTGCAGGACATAGCTAGCTTCCCATAAGGTTGTCAGATGTAGCTGTCTCTCTCCTTTTGTGATATGCCCCGTCTCCCCCATGGCAGCCATTTTGTAGCTTTTGCCCCCAGCACTCTCTCAAAATACAAAATTTGCCCACTAGTCCAAAAAGGTTGGCAACCCTGGCATACAAGATAGTCTTTGCTCTGGTTCCTCCAGTCTCTGCTTCTTCCATACACACACCCCAATGCCAGTTTATCCCATAATGCACCAATGTATTTTTGGCAAGAGTGGTTTCATTGGTGCCAGCTTGCACCTACAATGGAGGGTGCCAATGTCATGTGACACCGTGACATTGCATGCACGATGTTATGCAACATCATGACTCCCTGTGTGTGATGTCGCACAGCATTAATGACATCCCATGCGCAACGTCGGCACTGGATATAGAGAGGGCTCAGCCCCCTCCTTAGCTTCGGAACAGGCTAAAGTGCTTCCACCCCCAGGAGCCAGCACCCCAGAAGGACCTTGAGTGCTAGAAACTAAACTCTTCTTTCTTGGGAAAGATGTGTACATGATTTATAAGCTTGTTATGAAATTCCCATGGAAACCTTGGTGGAATGCCTGCAGCTTACAATGGCATTCCTAATTGAAATTTAAACAAGGATTTAGTTAAACCCTACCATGGTCAACTGGGAGAGCACTTTGGGTGTAGCTGCCCCAACTTCACCTACTGTTTTTAACTTCTGCCCGAAGAGTATTTCAGGATTTCACTTCTTCCCCCTGCCCCTTGCTTAAATGTGTGTTTGTATTTTTGCACACCTTGAGCCCAATTGACACCTGCTTGTTGTGTATGGGTGGTACTGTTTTAGCTATGTAAGGACTGACACTCGGTGTCTGAATAATAGAGGGAATGGTTTTTATTTATTACACTTCTATACTGAAGTTATATGGGTGGTTTACAATAAATTATCCTTGCTTCTTTCATGTTTTCATTTCTTTCTCTCTTTATTTACTCCTGCCTGTCTCTTACCATTAAGCTAGCCATGAACACTGGAGCATTAGGTTATATCCCACTTTCAGGAACCTTTAAGAAGCCAAAGTGCTGTGTGTGTGGATCTATTTTGAACTGAACATGATTGACTATTAACAACTCCAGCCAGCCTTGGAAATGGAGAAGCAATTGTAAATGGGCCCTGAGTTGTAATGAGAGGCATTCTCTGATCGTTACTTGCATATGCATTGATTATTTGATTTGGAACATCAATTATCTGTGTAAAAGGCTTTGACTCTAAAGAAGCTCATGTGTCAAACATGAGAAGGTAATGGAAGGACTTAAAAGTTGACATGGATGGAACAAGTGAATGGAACAAAAATTGAGTCCAGGGAGGGAAGGCAGAAGGCTGCACGACTTGTACTTTGTGTCTGTGTTAGTACTGTGCCAAAAAAAATTTCTCTGTCCTTTTTTACCATTTGCCATTAATGAAAAAAGAAATTGCGCTATAGAACTTGTTATACACTATCACTTCTTCTGCAAATGGGACTTTGGTGCTGATCTTCACATGAAGGCCCATAAAATATCAAGGTTTTCACCTGGTGCAAAAAGACACACGCAAGCACACAAAAAGCTGGGTGTACCTGTTTTCTCCCTCTAAACATTTATCTAGCACCTGCAGCCTCCCTAGCTGCCTATGATTCCTGCTATGAAAAAAGCCCATCAGAGGAGTTACCTCATGATTTTGTCCTCGGGCTTTGATTGAAACATGGACACCTGGGGAGGGTGCAGGTTACATGCAGCTGGTGTGATTATTTGTAGAATGAAAGAAAGGACACCTGCAGAACCCCTTGACCACTTCAAAAGCAAGATGAGCACATAACTGCCCCCCCACACTGCACTTGTAAGAATGACACTGAAATTTTCACTCCTGCTTTGACCATTTTCAAGTTGAATTTCTTTTCTCATTGGTTAACAGAGAACAGTAAAATAAACAAAACAACTGAAAAACAGAAAAATGCAGCACAGCACTGTCTTTAATCCATCACCTGTTTTCGTCACAGTTCAGAAATTGTGGCGTTTTGATGAATTTCTAATGCTTTTATATTGTAATGTTTCTGTGATGTGTCCATGGCTTTTTGTCAGCTGAAATTGAAAAAGAGCATTTATACATTTTTAAAGACTTCAATGGATGAATAAAATAAGAGCCAATCGCAGCCAGTCTGTCTCCTCTGTTCCTCTTGTAGGTGTAAATGCAACCTCCATGCCAATCTGTGCACCTTCAAAGAGGGAAGCCTCCAGTGTGAGTGTGAGCACAACACAACCGGTCAGGACTGTGGGCGATGCAAGAAGAACTTCCGCAGCAAGTCTTGGCGGGCAGGATCCTACCTGCCCCGCCCCAATGGCTCTGCTAATGTCTGTAAGTAGCTGTGCAAAACTGTGCTGATTTTATCCTGCCCCCTCCTCTCCCTCAAGTGGTCTTTCTGCATTGGTGGTACTGCTGAGCACCAGTCCTGTTCAGAACAGGGTCTGCAGGGAGTATCAGCAATGCTTGGCCACGGACCAGGACCATGGATAGCTGCCCAGGCTAGAATCAGGTATAAAAATATGTCTAAGTCTTCCACGGAAAATGAAAACAACAACAAATGGTACAAAAAAATAAAATAACAAATACAAATTGCTAGGCAGTGATTATTGATAATTACTAGCTCTAGAAACCACAGATGGAGGGAGTGCTCTGGTGCTCAAATCCTGCTTGTGGGCTTCCCATGGGCATCTCAGGATGTTGGACTAGGTGGACCACTGCCTTGTTCCAGCAGGCTTTTCCTACGTTTGTATGATCTTATATTTTTGTGTGTGTGTGTGCATGTGGATAGATTAGATAGATAGATGATAGATAGATAGATGATAGATAGAAGATAGATAGATAGATAGATGATAGATAGTTCTCCTTCTGACACACTTCCCTACGCAACACCTCCAAGGCCCTGGTCCTCACCCAGGGCCTCAACAAACTCACAGATATCACCCCTCAGAATCCCACCACAAGGAGGGTTCCTAGAACCTGCTATCATCACCCTGCACCACATTCACCCCAAACATTTAAAGCCCTATCTTAAATACTCACAGCTTCCTCCAAATAATTCTGGGAGTTGTAGTTTGTTAAGGGTGCTGAATGTTCTTAGGAGACTCTTCTCTCCCCCCACAGAGCTACAGTTTCTACAGTAGTTTAACAGTCAATTCCTCTTCCCAGAGAACTGTAGCTCTGTGGGGGAAGAGAAGAGTCTCCTAACAACTCAGCACCCATAACAAACTACAGCTCCCAGGATTCTTTGGGGGAAACTATGACTGCTTGAAGCAGTATCATAGGGATTAAAACGCATGGTGTGAATGTGACCCTAGCCTCTCCCACTAAGGTTTATGAGCAGGTACCCAGGTCTGATGGAGCGTCCTCAGGTTGGCCACCACTGGGTCCCATTCAGCACTCATATCAGTAGTACTGCACAAATCCAGTTCCAGGTGACAGCAGATTTGGTTTGGTGAATTTTCCAGGGGGTCCAAAGGATGGTAAATAGGACTCCCCTCTGCTCACAGTTCTGCACACCTCTCCTCCTGCCTTTGTCATGGTGGAAGAGCAACTGCCACACCACTGGCTTTTTAAGCAGCCTAAAGCATTTCCCAAAGATGCCACATTTTGTTCCGTCCTTCCTTCCCACCTTTGAATGAAAATGTATCGGCTTTAGGGTGATCAAAGCAGAAATCCAGTCTCAAAAGGCCATGACAGGAACGCTTTGTTTTTGCCAGGAACTTGAAGACGTGGGCCCTTTGAAAGGGAACAAACTTGTCAGCTGCTGCTGAGTGCCTACGATCTTTCAAAGGAGCGACAGAGTTTTTTTGGTGCTGACAGGCACCAGGAGCTGCTGGCTCCCCATTATTCCATTATGCTTGCTTCTCACACTCAGAACACAGAGCCCAGGTGTCCTGCGTAGAGCCAGAGTCTGCAAGCTCAGGGCATGGGTGTCTACAGGGATTTTTCTAGGGCGTGTGCAAAGCCAAAACACTGAAACAGGTGGAACAGGCTAGTCTCACACAAAATTTGAGAAGAATGGTGCCCATGCATTTTGCCTCATAACTCAGGCTCAACAAGTGCAAGGAGCTCATTATTATTATTATTATTATTATTATTATTATTATTATTATTATTATTTTAAATGAAAATTGGGAATCTGCAGGTTATGTTTCATGGGGGGGGGGCGGGGAGAACTTTCCTACCTTTCTTTTCACCTGTGAATGGCCATAGCTCAGTTTCCCTGTGTTAGATAAACCAAAGGAAATTAAGACGGGACTCCTGGTCCTCTAATAGTTGCTTCGCACATATAATTGTGGCAGACCTGTCTATATTAACCCTGCCATGTAGAGCAAAAATCCAAGCTTAGGGAGTTTGCAAAAGCCTGGCCAAAGTACGTTTTCAGGAGGTGCCTAAAACTGAGACTGCTGCTTCTTTGAAGGTCAAGGACTGCAGGGGTCAGCAAACTTTTTTCAGCAGGGGGCCCAGTCCACTGTCCCTCAGAACTTGTGGTGGGCCGGACTATATATATATATAATAATATATTTTGGGGGGAATGAAACAAATTACAGGGGGTCTAGTGTCCTCCTGTCCCGTTTCGGGTGTACTGGACGTTGACGAGTCTCACTCGTCATCTCATTGCACTGGACAGAGCAGATTCAGGTTGATCCTATATATACTGGAGGGGATAGCCTCCAATGCTGGGCAGAGAGGAAGTTCCCAGGCTAGTGTGCCTTTTCTTCTTTTGTTCCTTAATTACTTGAGGGGTATCTTGAGTGATTTCTTGAGTGATATTCTGAGTACCACTTAGGTGGGTCATTAGGTGTGGATTAGTTGCTCAAGCCTTCGTGTCTTGACCTCTTGAACTTTGTGAAAAGTTTTTCTGAGAAGATGGCTGTACTGCACTTAGTTGTGCTCTGGCTTGGCTTCGGGTATAGGGGCGAGCTGTGGTTTTGTGCCCTGTGCCAGCCAGATCTGTGTAGGGATTGCAGGGGGGTGCAGCATCCGGAGGTGCCACCATGGTTTGGCTACTGGATGGTGTCTGTAATTTATCTGTGGAGAGGGTCTGGGTTTGGGTCTGGTGAAAGCACCAGCCTGAAGATGACGAGTGAGACCTCGTCGAAACGTCGCCTAGACACCCCAACTTTTACACGGGAAGACACCCGAGGACACCAAAACCTGCATATATATATATATATATATATATATATATATATATATGGGGGAATGAACAAATTCCTATCCCCCACAAATAACCCAGAGATGCATTTTAAATAAAAGCACACACTATACTCATGTAAAAATACCAGACAGGCCTCCCAAATAACCCAGACATGCATTTTAAATAAAAGCACACACTCTACTCATGTAAAAACACGCTGATTCTTGGACCATCCATGGGCTGGATTGAGAAGGTGACTGGGCCAGATCCGGCCCCGGGCCTTAGTTTGCCTACCCATGGTCAAGAGAGTCATTACAGTCAAACCGTGCAGCTCAACCCACAAAACAAAACTTTTGTTCAAGTTCTTGGTCTTGATGTCACTGGGTGACATCTCAGCCATTCACAAGGTAGTTTCTTAGCCTCAGTCACCATCTGTAACATGGGAACAACAGCCTGTTGTGAAGACAAAGGTGGTAAGAGTGAGTACTGAGATGAATGCTCTCTGTGTCTGATTGTCTCTTCAGTTACTGTGATTTTGCAGGTGTCAAACCCTCCCCCAGGTCTTTAATCCAATATGTTTTGTAACACTTCTCAGCTATTTACAGTTACCATATCCCCATGGTTTTTCACTTCTGCTGCTGTTTTACTATCCCCCCCCCAATTGCTTCTTTCACATAACCCCCCCCCTCCGCACCCCAACCAACCAACCAACCAACCAACCAACCAACCAGGGATCACATACTGGCTTTGATGACTTCACAATTATATCTAGGCAACTCCGTTTAGCTAGGTGCTGTCATGAAGAGCAAAATAACTTACTGGTATAAAGGAAATAATTTTTATATTATTTACATGAGCACTGCAATTCTAATGAAGCATTCTGCAAAACTGCCTGTCCCTTCTCTACCCACCCACCCATACCCCACATTCCAGCTGAGCACTAGTAAGAATTGTACAATCATACTTCATGTTGCGTCCACTTCATGTTGCGTCTTTTCGCGTTATGTCCTGCAGTAACCCAGAAGTAACGGAATGGGTTACTTCCGGGTTTTGCCGCTCATGCATGCGCAGAAGCGCCAAATCATGCCGCGCACCTGCGCAGACACAGTGCTTTGAGTTGCGGGCATTTCATGTTACAGACGGGCCTCCAGAACAGATCCCGTCCGTAAGACAAGGTACCACTGTACTAAACTTCATGCACTTGAAATGTGACTTATTAGTAATAAGCTGTTATGCCAAAACTGACAAGTATATATGACCCTACCCGGACACAGGGCAAAGTAAAAGAGTGCTAATAAGTTAGGTTATCAGTTGGCTGATCCCCACAGGTCACTGCAGGTTACCTGGGTGCAAACCCCACCTCTGTGTTTTGCCCTGTGCCAGCTGCCTTGACATCCGTGTGCTTATGAGCAAGCTTCCTGTTAATTAGCACCATGCCCGTCTTTGTATTTGCTGACCCTCTTTTTTTTCCCTTGCCCTTCTTCTTTTCTTCCAGGTGCAGCTCCAAACTTTGGCAGTAAGTAGAAAATGAAACTTGAAACTCTGGGATTTGACGTGTTTGGTGCATGGTCCCTGTGCACGTTCCTTGATGGGGAGAAAGAGCGGCTGTTTTCACTGTCCATTAGCACCTTCCGGGCAATATGTCTGCTCCTCTAATTGTGCCTCATTTCCCATCCTGTCAAAAGAACCTTCTTTGACTTCAGTAACCTCATTGTCTCTGCTGCAATGGCATGTTTTTCCCTCCCCATGAGGTTTGTTAGAACAGCAGAAGGGAAGGAAATAAAAGTGTGTGCATGTTACCAAAATCACCAGTGGATGCCGTGAACTTTTCCCCTCAAGTATCACAGGCAGGACATTAAGTTCTCGCTGCCACTAGGAGAAAATTGTGTTAAGATTTTTCAGCTACAGAATCTGGTCTCTTTCACTTTCATTAGACTAAGGTGTGCCGTGGTGTGTGTGTGTGTGTGTGTGTGTGTGTGTGTGTGTGTGTGTGTATTAAGAGGAAGATATATCGGGACATTTCAGCTGAGTATATGGACCTACTTTTTCCACACAACATATAGTTAAACTATGGAATTCACAGTCACAATATATAGTAATAGTCACCAACTTGGATGGCTTTAAAAGAGAATTAGGCAATTTTATGGAGAATTAAGCTGTTGATGGCTACTACCTCCGCTGGCAGAGTCAGTATGCCTCTGAATGCCAGTTGCATTGGACACAATCCATTGGGTTCAAATAAGTGGATAGCAATCAATCCCATGCTCACAAATGAGCTCAATAATACTTACTTCTGAGTAGGCATGCATTGGATTGTACCGTAAGTGTATATTGTTAATATGGCCCAAGATACTGCTGGAAAGGCTTGGTACTTTAAATATAACTTGAGAAAAAGTCCTGAGAAAACTATCCTATGGTTTCTTTCTCCTCTCCCCATCCCAATCCTTATTTTTGTTTTGTTAGCAAATGAACGATCAAAGCGAGTTACTACCACTAAAGCTACTACCACTACAACTCCCAAAACCACTTCCACCACCACCACTACTACTACCACCACCACCACCACCACTACTACTACCACTACTACCACCACCACTGCTGCTCCTCCTCCTACTACCACTACCACTGCTGCTCCTCCTACTACTACCACTACCACTGCTGCTCCTACTACTACCACCACACTTGTTACAACTCAGCAGCCAGGTGGGTGCCAAGCTGTAGTTTGCTAGGCACAAGCTCCTCATCCCCTTACTTGCTCATGTAGATCTACTAGAGCTGATTCTGCTGTTCAGTCTTCCGTCGCCCCCTCCCTTCTGCAACAGCTTTGTATGCTGCTTCACCATGTTAAGTAGCAACAAATAATGCCATAGAAGGATGACTCTAGCCTCACTAGCTTGCCTCTTCACTTGCCTTGTAGGTGTGGATTGGGGTACGTGGGGGGGGGAATTACATTGTGCTTCTGCTCAGTTCTTTCCATTTGTCAGCAAAAGTGCTTGTTTGTTTTCAGACCTAATTAATACAGAGAAGGGCATTGGCAGGACAGCACACATTAATAATGTGCAGCTTCTTTTCCTTTAGGGCTGCAGCTGCAGTAACGCCTTAAAAAATGGGTGCTATGATGAGATGGGTGAAGGGGTGGGTGCTCTGGTGATGTGGCAAAAGGGCAGGTGTTCTGATAAGGTGAGCGAAATAACAGATGCTCTGATGAGGTGCAGGGCCACAGGTTAGCCACCACAATTTAATGTATCTAGCTATCAGTCTGAAACAGTGCCTCTGGTTCAAGTACCCATTTCGACCGTGAAGTTCATTAGGTGGCCAGTCATGCCCTCTCAGCCTTACCCACTTCACAGTGACACCTCCTAGATCTTCTTGGAGAACACTCAAGATATAAATATAAAGTAATATCCCATGATCCTTTGAAATGCCCAGGAGTTCTGTAGCAGTAACTCTGAGTTGTACTGTTGACATGTGAACATCATTGATTAAAATTTGCCCTCGCCAGTTAGTCAACTGAAACCTGAGCTGATTAATCTACAAGTTGAAGTGGTTAATTTTATAGCCCTGCTAACTCAGGAATTATCTATGAGACGTTATACAGATGGTTATACTGTGCCTTAAGTTTCTCCAGAATTTTTCATGCTAGTCTTTTCCTAGGGAAGAGTTTCAAACACTGCTGAGAATCTTTCTCTGTACTTTCTCTTTTAATGTGCGTGTGTGTGTGTATGTGTATGATTCTTTTGTACCCTCTGAGCAGCCACTGTTAAGCAACCAGCTGATCTCCCTCCTTCTGTGTCTGTGCAAGAGGCAGAGATAAAAACAGGTATATTTTACAGATAGCTTGATGCTCCTAGTTCCTTAGCTAGTGCTTGCTTTTCTGCAGTACACCCAAAAGCAACAATAAACCAACCAAGGCAGCCCCAGACTGCATAGTATGGGAAACAGAGAGACCTTCCCATTGCCAGCCATTTTCTGGGTTATGTTGTTGTTTAAAAAAAGCAAATGCAGCTTCGGAAGCTATTTCATTAGACCAATGGTGGTAAGGAGGAGGTGCTTAAACCTTTATCTTCCCCTATCCCTGCTTTTTGCCTTTCAATGAAAAAGAGCTATCTATTGGCAGAGGTGGGTATGGGGGCCAAGGACTCATAGAGTCATATAAAGGTTGATCCCTTACAGAATATGGGGCACTACTCCAACCTCAGCCACCCTACACCTGCCCGTTTTCTTATTTATAACCAGTCCAGGGGGTAGCAGAATTGTCTGCCAATTTCCTCCTCCTTACTCACAGTTTTGCCCTTGCAGAACTCAGCAGGGAGGAGGACGGAGACAATACTAGTTTGCTTTGCCTGCCTTCCACTCTAACTAGTCTCAGTGGGCATCAGCCACTACTGAACCAGAGGAGTTGTGGTGGTAAGAAGGCACATGAGGGCAGGCAGAGGTTTCTGAGACAGTGCCTCACTCACCCTCATGGACCAGCCTTCATTGCTGATAGCCCTGCTAGGTTGCTTAGGCACTAGCACCTGCCTGGGGGAGCCAGGCACTGGTACCGACCCTGGCCCCAGCTGCTCCCATCTCCATCTCTGCCATTCGCTCATGCTTGCCTGATTGCAATGTAAAACCATCCATGAATGTCACCGAGACACAAGGCTAAACATCTCAGGATAAAGTGAATTAATAATTCCCCCTGTTCTGTAAAAGCTGAGCCAGTGGAGGTGTGTGTGAATGACTAAAAAGCAAAATGCCTCCGGGGTGACTTTTTATTGTGACTCTAATTAAGCCCTTGCCAATTTGACGGGGGCTGTCATGGTACTCTGATTTAACGCCCTTATTAATATCAATTGGCTTCTGTCTCCCATTTCAACAGGACACGATCTGTTATCCACCTTTAAAGTGTGGCTTAAAAAAAATGAAAAAAGTTTTTTAAAAAAAATAAATGAAAAAGTATATCCCTCTAAATTGTTTATGATCCAGCCATACTGGCAAGAAAATTACGTTTCTGTCGTTACAGATTTTTCAGCTGAACACACTTCTTGACCCCGTCTCCTTCCACATTCCTCCTTAGGTTACTTAAATTGAGTTTTGGTTTTGGTTTTTTTGTTTTGTTTTTCAAATTAATCCCTTTTCTGCCACTCCTTTTTATATTTTTGAGCAGAGACTGATAGCCCATAAAATTGATGTGGGGAAAGTACTGGCTGCCGAGTAAATTCTTTTGTCAGCGTTAGAGATAGGGGAGAAATTTGATTAGGTTCTCATTTAAAGCCAAATTTATCAAATTTTCAATTTCTGAAACAATACAATAACCAAAACACAGGCATCCTTCAAAATTCATAATTATAAAAAATAATAATTGCCAGGCAGTTCTGCAACCAAATAATATTTACACAAATGCATATGTTAGGGCAAAGTGTGCCTAAAAATAAATATATTAATGAGATAAACATATAAAAACGCATCATATTGTGAGAAATTGCTTGCAGAAATGCCTGTATTAGTCAAAACTACATATAAAAATCTGTTCTAAGGGAAATTCACACTAAAACGCTGGGGAAAATTCCATTAGGGGTTTTAAAAAGAAAAATTGAAAATTGCTGCAGAAACGTTGGAGAGCCAAATTTAAGACTGGGAAAAATAAGAAATTGATTATTCCATCCGTTGTCAGAGATGACCAGATCCTTGCATCCCTAGTCAGAGGTGACAGGATCCAAAGGTCTCTCTTTGTGACTTCCCACATGCTACTTGTGGATTGAGCATTAATAGCACTTGATTACATTCTGGGAGCAGGTGTAGGCAATTCATATTTTGCCCAGCAACCCAGCTCTTTCCTGTTGTTGGTGTTGCTGGAGTGTGCAAGAAGAGATGCATCCTTGTGCATCATGGGATATGGCATGGGTACATTTGGCAGGGAATTGTGGCTGAGCCACTGCCCCTCCTTGATATACATGGCCGCTGCTGTGGCATATGAAACATATAGTTCTTTTGGGAGGGTGCCACCATGTTTCTGGGGAAAACTGGAATCCAGTGGGTTCCACCATGGTTCCAGTGACTTAATCATCATTGTAGGGTGCACTGTCCACCACATCAGCTCAGGAGGCTTCTGGGAGTGCACATTTCCCCTGTTCTGTAAAAGCTGAGCCAACAAAACCTCCATGGATCAACAAAGCCTTTGCTAGATTCTGCTTAGTTTCTGTGGCTGAGCTGGGCCTCTCTGGAATCAGATTCTGGATTCCCATTTCTGGGTGTCTAGTGGCATTCAGAAGCTTGTGGTCTCATCTACTTCCATCTACAGGCAGCTTTAGGGTATGAGCAGAGTTTGTGCAGGTCCAGATGGCCTCACTACAAAGGGAAAGACTTTGCTATAGGGAAGTCAGAGTGGATTTTCATCACCTAAAGCACCTGGTGTAATATTTCTTGAGCCATCCATAAGACCCAAGTAGCAATGCTTTAAATCCCTAGCATAATACAGCTCTCCTATATTGCTTTTGCAAGAAACAACCAGCTCTTCTGGCGTGGCCCCCTTGC